CACACACTACACACACACACTACACACACACACTACACACACACTACACACTACACACACACTACACACACACTACACACACACACACTACACACACCACACACACTACACACTACACTACACACACTACAGACTACTACACACACACTACACACACACTACACTACACACTACACTACACACACACTACACACACTACACACTACACACACACTATACATTACACTACACACTACACTACATACTACATACACACTACACTACACACTACACACACTACACTACAATATACACTACACACACCACACACTACACTACACACACTACACTACACTATACACTACACTACACTATACACTACACACTACACTATACACTACACTACACACTACACACACTACACACACACTATACACTACACTACACACTACACTACATACTACATACACACTACACTACACACTACACTACAATATACACTACACACACCACACACTACACTACACACTACACACACTACACTACACACTACACTACACACTACACTACACACTACTATACACTACTATACACTACACTATACACTACACTATACACCACACTATACACTACACTATATACTACACTACACACTACACTACACACTACACTACACACTACACTACACACTACACTACACATACACTACACTATACACTACACTATACACTACACTATACACTACACATACACTACACTATATACTACACATACACTACACTATACACTACACATACACTACACTATACACTACACATACACTACACTATACACTACACTATACACTACATACACTACACTATACACTACACTACACTCTCGCTATAATTTCCCCTCCAGCTCCGTCAGCCTTGCTGTTCCCGTGATGGGTTTGCTCTGCAGTTGTGGGTGGTGGGTGGATGGTGGGTGGGTGGGTGGTGGGTGGGTGGTAGGTGGGTGGGTGGGTGGGGTGGTGGGTGGTGGGTGGGTGGTGGGTGGGGTGGTGGGTGGTGGGGTGGGTGGTGGTTGGTGGTTGGGTGGGGTGGTGGGTGGGTGGTGGGTGGGGTGGTGGGTTGGGTGATGGGTGGAGTGGTGGGTGGGGTGGTGGGTGGGTGGTGGGTGGGTGGTTGGTGGTGGTTGGTGGGTGGGGTGGTGGGTGGAGTGGTGGGTGGGTGGGTGGGGTGGTGGGTGGGTGGTGGGTGGGTGGGGTGGTGGGTGGGGTGGTGGGTGGGTGGGTGGGTGGTGGGTGGGGTGGGTGGTGGGTGGTGGGTGGGTGGGGTGGGTGTGTGGGTGGGTGGGTGGTGGGTGGGTGGGGTGGGTGGTGGGTGGTGGGTGGGGTGGGTGAGTGGGTGGATGGTGGGTGGTGGGTGGGTGGGGTGGTGGGTGGTTGGTGGGTGGGTGGGGTGGTGTGTGGTGGGTGGGTGGGGTGGTGGGTGGTGGGTGGTGGGTGGGTGGTTGGTGGGTGGTGGGTGGGTGGGGTGGTGGGTGGGTGGGGTGGTGGGTGGGTGGGTGGTGGGTGGATGGGGTGGGTGGGTGGGTCACAGTGCGTGCATGTCTGATCGTCGTGATGATCAAATCGTCTCTATCCAAAGCTTTCTCGGACGTGCGAGAAATCCATTCCCCATTGTTATCTCGGACGACAAAAAAAAATAGCCACCACGTAAGCCTCGAGATAAGATCCATCGCTTTCCCACCTGTCGCATGCCACTAACAGGACATCACTTCCAATCCTGCGGAACCCGTCCGGTGGTCCAGACCGTGGTTATGATGTCCTGTAGGGCAGTCTGTGCACAAACTACGCCACCATCCCTCAGCAATTTCGCTTGGGAGATCATCTCTGCCCGCTGACTTTGCCTGGTCTCGGACTCCGGATCGCCCTCGGTACATCCTCAACAGATGGCGCCTCAGCCAGCCACTCACAGTGGGTGACTTCCTCTTCCAATATTTGAGGCACCGCAGCCTCAGCAGGGTCATCCTCACTTTGTGCCACGATGTTTTCCTGGCCGAGAGATTTTCCCTCCACCATAGGACCTCACAGAAATGCTCAGCAAATCTGCAAACCTGTTCCTGGGGGTTGGGAGATTGGATCACCGTTTTTTCCCCCCCTAATGATGGTGATAGGTGTGGCGCTGCAGGTTACTTTTTTGATGGGAGTTAAATAGAGATTTGTGATCGCCGGCCACTGAGGCAGACTCCATCTCCTCAGCAACCCGCGATCACCACCCATCCTTGCAGCGCCTCACGGCTCTCCGAACCTCCGAGCGAAGGCTGCGGTAAGCCTCCTCATTCTCTGACGTGGGATTCTGTAGCCGATGACAGTGGGCCTGTCGCTTTTTCTCAACCATCCTGAACACCTCCTCTGTCAGCCAGGGTCTCTGGGGAGGTCTGGACCGCGTACCCAAAGCAGACATTGCAGCTGCATGAGTCACAGTCCTAAACCTCGCCCATTTCCCCTCGGAATCAGGAGGAGTCGGGGACGATGCCAACCCCCAACACCCACACTCCCAGCCGCAAGCGATGAGGAAATTCTCGCTCGCAACTTTCATCAGTTAGCAACAGTTGTCAGGGTCTGGAATCGAACCCACGACCTCCTGCACCCCAGGCGAGGTAGTTAACATCTCACGGGGTCTGGGATCGAGCCCACGACCTCCTGTATACCAGGCGAGGTAGTTAACATCTCACAGGGTCCGGGATCTAATCCACGACCTCCTGTACACCAGGCGAGGTAGTTAACATCTCACAGGGTCCGGGATCTAACCCACGACCTCCTGTATACCAGGCGAGGTAGTTAACATCTCACAGGGTCTGGGATCTAACCCACGACCTCCTGTACACCAGGCGAGGTAGTTAACATCTCACAGGGTCTGGGATCTAATCCACGACCTCCTGTACACCAGGCGAGGTAGTTAACATCTCACAGGGTCTGGGATCTAACCCACGACCTCGTGTACACCAGGCGAGGTAGTTAACATCTCACAGGGTCTGGGATCTAACCCACGACCTCCTGTACACCAGGCGAGGTAGTTAACATCTCCATCCTGGTTTTAACCTCAACTTGATTCATTAAAAAACATATTAAACATGTGGGTACATCAAAACAAAACGCCGATTGTCAGAAAACATTGTGTCTGTGTGTGTGTGTCTGTGTGTGTGTCTGTGTGTGTGTGTCTGTGTGTGTGTGTCTGTGTGTGTGTGTCTGTGTGTGTGTGTGTCTGTGTGTCTGTGTGTGTGTCTGTGTATGTGTCTGTGTGTCTGTGTGTGTGTCTGTGTATGTGTGTGTGTCTGTGTGTGTCTGTGTGTGTGTGTCTGTGTGTGTGTCTGTGTGTGTATGTCTGTGTGTGTGTGTCTTTGTGTGTGTGTGTCTGTGTATGTGTGTGTGTCTGTGTGTGTGTGTCTGTGTGTGTGTGTGTCTGTGTGTGTGTGTGTCTGTGTGTGTGTCTGTGTGTGTGTGTGTCTGTGTGTGTCTGTGTGTGTGTCTGTGTGTGTGTGTCTGTGTGTGTCTGTGTGTGTGTCTGTGTGTGTGTGTGTCTGTGTGTTGTGGGGAGCGATAGTGTAGCGGTTAGCGCTACACTGCGCTATGAACCTGGCGACCCGGGTTCGATTCCCGCTCACGGCCAACACCAGTGACGATTATCTGAACCGGTCCCGGGCCTCCCCTAGGTCGACTCAGCCTCAAATGAGTACCTGGTGCGGTGTGTAAACATTGCCACTAGGGAGACAAAGGCGGTCGGGCGTGGTGCTGGCCACCCACCCCTTCGTGTACCGATCCGGCCTTCATAGGTGCTCGCTAACAGCACTTGCCCCTACAGTCTGTTAAGGCTATATGGGGGATCTTTATCTTTTATCTTTGTATGAGTGAGTGTGTATGTATGTATGAGTGAGTGTGTGTATGTATGAGTGAGTGTGTGTATGAGTGAGTGTGTATGAGTGTATGAGTGTGTGTGTATGAGTGAGTGTGTGTATGAGTGAGTGTGTATGAGTGTATGAGTGAGTGTGTGTATGTATGAGTGAGTGTGTGTATGTATGTATGAGTGTGTGTATGTATGAGTGTGTGTATGTATGTATGAGTGTGTGTATGTATGAGTGTGTGTGTGTATGAGTGTACAGTATCAACGTGCATACGTATGAGTGTGCGTGTGTATGTCAGTGTGAGTGTGTGTATGTATGAGTAACTGTGTGTGTTTGTATGAGTGTGTGTATGTCAGTGTGAGTGTGTGAGTGTGTGTATGTATGAGTGAGTGTGTGTATGAGTGAGTGTGTGTATGTATGAGTAACTGTGTGTATGTATGTGTAAGTGTGTGTGTATGTATGTGTGTGTATGTCAGTGTGAGTGTGTGTTTGTATGAGTAACTGTGTGTATGTATGAGTGTGTGTATGTCAGTGTGTGAGTGTGTGTATGTATGAGTGAGTGTGTGTATGAGTGAGTGTGTGTATGTATGAGTAACTGTGTGTATGTATGAGTGAGTTTGTGTATGTATGAGTAACTGTGTGTATGTATGAGTGAGTGTGTGTATGTATGTATCAGTAAGTGTGTGTATGTATGAGTGTGAGTGTGTGTGTATGTATGTGTGAGTGTGTGAGTGTGTGTATGAGCGTGTGTATGTATGAGTGAGTGTGTGTATGTATGTCAGTGTGAGTGTGTGTATGTATGAGTAACTGTGTGTATGTATGAGTGAGTGTGTGTATGTATGTATGAGTAAGTGTGTGTATGTATGAGTGTGAGTGTGTGTGTATGTATGTGTGAGTGTGTGAGTGTGTGTATGAGTGTGTGTATGTATGAGTGAGTGTGTGTATGTATGTCAGTGTGAGTGTGTGTATGTATGAGTAACTGTGTGTATGTATGAGTGAGTGTGTGTATGTATGTATGAGTAAGTGTGTGTATGTATGAGTGTGAGTGTGTGTATGTATGTGTGAGTGTGTGAGTGTGTGTATGAGTGTGTTTATGTATGAGTGAGTGTGTGTATGTATGTCAGTGTAAGTGTGTGTATGTATGAGTAACTGTGTGTATGTATGAGTGTGCGTGTACGTGTGAGCGATTTGGGGTTCATGCGTTTGCGGATACGATCGATCAATCAATCAACCGATCGATCGATCGATCCACCACCGCTTCACGTCTGAGAGAGAATGGTTGCGTGCCCCAGATGACCCCACCGAGATTTGTGCGTTTCAGGGCGCGCGTTTGAAACTTTTTCCGTTTCGTTGAAAAAACCAAAAAAAACCACTTCGTGGAAACTCTCCCACAGGCGGTGTTTCGATACAGAAGTCGGACGAGGCATTAAAAACAAAAAGGAACACGCTTCGGGCTTCGCTGTCGACACGCCAACACAGCCGCTCCAACGCGCTTTGGCAAAAATTGCTGAACCATCACCGCAGA